CCTCAGGTTACTTGGTTCAGGCACATGTGTCACTCCGAGCCTCTCATCATCATGGCTGGGCCATGGCTGGGGCTTGCAGTCTTCATAGAATAGTCTGGGAAGAAGAGGACCATAGTGATCATCTAGTTTCAACCCCCTTGCTATGTGCAGGGTCACCGACCTGCCTGGAACCACATCCAGCCTGGCCTTGAATGCCTGCAGGGATGGGGCATCCATAGCCTCATCTGCGCCAAATTGAAGCTCCCTCCTGGATCCTGAAGGGGCCAGGGCACCTTCCAGCAGCTCTTGTCGGTGTGTTAAAAATGCTGACAAGTATCAAAAAATTGTGCAGCTGAGTTAGTAGATGAAACCAATTTGTTTATTGATTTCTTCAAACTCCACTAAATTGTAAACAAAGTCTGCATGTGGGGAAAGGGGTTCATTTCTTCTTTGATGAATGGTTACTGATTGTGGCAGCCTCATGCAGAACAGCCTCAGCTTTAGCACTAACGTTGCTTTTCATTCTCATTGGCCTATGCAGAAGTTTAGAGCATGTTTCTTTATAGCTCTTTCAGTGTTTTGGGTATTGTCTGTTGGGCCAACCTGTTATCAGTCTTTAAAGCTGTCTGAACCACTGAAGTGAGCTAATTAAGAGTTTTTGCACAGCTGGATATCTAAAAACTCAACAAGTTCCGTGGCATTTTGAGCTGTTAAATACCTGGCTCTGTCATAGACATGTTAAAAAGGCATCATCATCAGTAGCCTATTGGAAGTCAGATCTTACAGCGTCTGACCTGCCTGCCCTGCCAGCAGACTGATAAACAGCAGCATTTGTGTTTCACGTCTGGGCTGGGATTTTCTCTCAGCTCTGCCTGCAGGTGCTTTCCATTCCAGGAGCTTTCAGAAATCTGCATTGAACCAAGGGTGGTTTGCTGAAGCAGGGATCTGGTCCAGCTGGAGTTTGGTTCTGACCTGTATTTCAGGGTGATGCTAAGCAGCAGGGAGGGTTCATAGGTGCGCCTGTTCCTCTGCAGGTGGCTTCTTATAGCAGCAGTCGCTGAGCTGTCTCTAGAGCCCAGGACAAAAATGAACTTTGCAAAGTGACTAACTTAGGATCTGCTGGTGCCCCATTCCACAGTGCTGAAGGCTCTCTCTAGGCCTGCTGGAGTGAATGTCTCGCTCAGTTTGAAGTGTGTGTGTGTGTGTGTGTGTGTTCAGAGTACCAGTGCCTTGGAATGATGGTTTTCACAAGCAGGCACTTGAGCACTGGGGCTTCCCTCTCTGTTACTTGCTGCCAGGGTGATTCTGGCTTGGGCTGGCACACAAAAGCCTACCTCTGTGTTCTGTGCCTCCAACCAGTTATGTATTGCTGGGGATAACAGGCTCCTGGAGGATTTGTGGAATATGGCATTTCTACCACAACCCCACTGATCTCTTAGAACTAGATTATCCGGATCTTGTACCCAGCATGTGGTAGTGTGGGGTTTTATTTCCCCATAGTGCTATCTGGCCCTTGGTTCCTACTTCTGCTGCAGACTTTTTTCCCAGTGACTCTGGGAAAGGCAATGAATTTCTGCCCCATTCCTGCCTGCAAAATAGGTTCTTGGTATTTTCCCACCTTTTCTCTCATTTACATTAAGAAATGCTTTTCATCTCCAAGATCATGTAAATTAGTGGTCTGAGCCTATGAGACTTCATTTATTGCAGTGCAGGTAGGGACTGCAGGACTCAGATGTGTTCTGGAAGTCCCTGGTCCTGTGTGAGTGCTCCTGGTGAGCGGGGAATGAATGGGACGCCACTCATTTTTAGTGATGTTTTACTTTCAAACCTTGCACAGCTGCTAAGCTTCACAGTCCAGCAAGGCTTCAGGTGAAAGTGTTGTCTTTCCAGATTTCTCCAGCAGATCTCATTGCTGCTGGAGGACGGAGCGAGGTTTAGAGCCTGGTGCTGGGAAACTGCCCTGCACTTGATTGTGGTAGGAAGGGAGCCAGACACCTCCATTTTAAAGTACTGTAACTGTATGGCTGGATATCATCCAGAGTCAGTGCTAATTTTGAAGAGGGGAAACTAGGGGAGATCTGTATTAGGAAAACAAAGGCTGTTGGAACTCGTGTGTTTTCCTGCCGTGCTCTGGAGGAGTGGCTCCTGCTCAGTGCAGTGGTTTCCGTAGTGCCAGGCACTGGGAGCACGCTGAGGTTGTAAGCCTGCAGGTAGTCTGGGCTTGCTGCAGAGATGTTTTTGGAGATTGATGAGGCCTCGCTGAAATCAGCACCTTTGTGAGCTGTCCCATTGCTGAGGCAGCAGTGCAAACGTTTATGGAGGCACAGAAGAGGGCCTGCTGTCTAAAAGCTTATCTTACGCAGGGCAGTGTAATGCAACTTTCACAGCTGGCATCTGTCCTGGAAGAATTGCAGGGGGGCTGCAGGGTCTTAGCTTAAGCCCTGGAAATCTTTCAGACTTCATTCTGGAAATCTGCCTTGATTTTGCTTGTGGCAGTGAATTTGTGTGCTGGTGTGGGTTGGTTACTGTCTTTTCTTCAAAGACAAAGCCCCTTCATACACTCCAAGCAAGCCTGAAGAACAGCTGGTACATAGCAGGGTCCCAGCAGCCTTCAGCCAGAGGTGGTTCTGCAGGTGAGCCCAGCAGCAGGGCTGCAGAGGAGTTGCCTTAGTGCAGCTGGTGCTGTTGGGTCCAGGGCACCTGGCAGGCACTACAGCAAGGGGAGAGGAGCTGCCCCTTCCGCTGGTGACCAGCTCCTCCTTAGAGGAGCAAGAGTTGTTAGGCTGGAATTCTGAGGATCACTGGATTAGGGGGAGGTTTAAGTACAAGGCAGCACTAATTACTGATTTAAAGCAGTCAGTGATTGTGAAATACCCCCGGGCACCAAATAAACATTATCTCCTACATATGGAGGCAGGTGAAGAGAAGGGAGAGCCCCTCCGTGCCAAGTGCTGGGTGGGCGTCTCCTGCAAACTGCTGCTTTTTGCATATGTAGGGAGGAGCAGGTCCAGTTGGGTGCTTAATGAGTGTCCTGCTTTGTGAGGGCTGATATCAAAGCCCCCTGGGCAGGATGTGGAGAGGGCCATAAGGAGAAAGAGGAGATGGAAGGCTGAAGAGGACCTCCCTTCCTGCAGAGCCTGGGTTTTGAGCTGCCATGCTGATGGGCCCTGTCTGGGCTTTGCAGGGCATGGTTTCCAGGTGCCTCTGCACGCAGCATGCCCAGGGCTCTGGCTGCTGAGACCAGGCACAGCCCTCCTGCAGTGCTCAGCTGCTGAAGCTGATAAAAGCTACCTGAAGAGTTGCTGCATTTGACTGGGGTGGAGATTGGGAGGAGTTGCTCTTTGCTGTGGAAAGTCAAGGTTCAAGACAGTCTGTCTCATGTACCTTGAACTAAATTTAAGCTGAATCTTGCATGCAGTTATGTCCCGAGACCTGTGACGGAGCTTGGTTGGCACTCCTGTGTTGCTGTGTTACTCATACAGCTGCTCTGCTACACCCCACCATGTACAAAACATTGCAGCAGAAAGGGCTGTCTGGTTTGGGAGTTGCTGAGAAGACCAGCTTACAGCTGGAAGCAGGCAGGGGAACCTTCAGGAAAGGCTGGAAAGACCTGTGAGGACAAGGGAGCTTTGCTGGCTATGAGCTCCTGGGTAGCTGTGTTGGGGGCTCAGTGGGAGCTTGTGACCTGCACTGGTGTCAGTGTGTGAAGGTGCCCATATAATTGGAAGGTGCCAACTCAACATGGTGGTAAGAGCAGGGGGGTTGGTCTGGAGTGAGTGGGATTCTGCTATGCACTGGAAAGACTTTGTTGGCTTATGCGATGGCATGAAAGTGGGTGCATCTTGGGTAACGAGTATTTCCTTTTTACTCTTTGAATTGACTTATTCCAATTGCTTTGCTGTGAGTTGTGGCAGCTTTGGTGAAGTTATGGTGATAGGCTGAAGTTACTTAGCTTTGATACTACTGTTCAGGCTGTCAGCTTTCTCCTTTAACTGAGGAGAGCTCCAAGCTGGCATTACACTTAAGCCTCTCTAATGACTTTCTGCTGGATAGCTCTTGATGGAAAATGTAGGTGTTGCTGGCAGGGGCTTTGGTTAAGCGCATAGTTTTCATGGCTTGGTAGTGAAAGAAGGAGCTGTATTTTTGCAGTAGCAGAGCTGGGGTGGTTGGGATGTTCTCCCTTCCCACCTCGCATTATTTAACCTCCATCCTGACATTGTCAATCTTGTTAGAAGCTGCAAGCATAGCTGGAGGACCGTGCTCCAGAGCCTGCGTTCACAGCTCTTCTGAAACATCCATGCACGTGATCTGTGCCACTGAGTTGTTGGTTTCCAAGCCTGTGTGACCCTGCTTCAGGGGAAGAGGTGGTACTTCAAATGTTAGCCTGAAACAGTTGTGTCCTGTAACAATGGCTGCCCACAACCAGTGGTGATGAGATTCTGCAGGAAAAGAAGTGGCCTCCTGGGGCTGAGATTGTGAGTTTGTGTTTCCCAGAGTTTGTTATGTGTGGAGTATCTGCCAGATCCATTTCAGGTGTGTTGAGATGCAGCTGCCGCATTCTCTGCTGCCTGGGAAGTTCATATTTTGGAGTTTGGGTCTTGGTTTTCTCATGAGGTACTTTTTGCTCTTGTGAGGAAAGGGGTGTAATTAGCAGGCTTCCTCATGTATAGAAAAGCTTTTTTTTAAAGGTGCAAATTGAACACCTGTTGGCTGGTAGATGCTAGGCAGCCACCAGCCTTTCCTTTTGACTTACTGCTCAGGTTTGCCTCAGGATTTAAAGGTGTCTGTGGCTCTTTTCTCCTGCATGTGATGAGGCGGTGCCATCGTGTGCAGTGGGTCTTCTGTAGTGTACAGCCCTTGAGTCCATAACATCCATCTGTTCTTCTGTAATGCACTGTAATCTTGGTCCCATGTTTTCCTTCAAGTGTCTTAAAAAAAATTAGGAGCTCTTATTGAAATTTGCTTAAATTAGTTCACTTAAGAGATTGCTCTCTGCTTGTAGGCACAGACTTACATACTCTTAAATGAAAACCACATAGAAGAAAGGCTTGAAAGTTTGGCTGTTTCTTTCTCACGGCCCTGTGGGCACCTAATGGCTTGTTGGATGTGCTGGGACTTGTTGGTGTGAAGTTAATCAGAGATGGCTATTCTGTGGTAAGTCAGTCATTCACACCCTCCTGGATTCTGAATTAATTTTCAGGTGTAAGCAGGTTCCATGTTAAGAGCAGTTAGGGGGCTTTCCTCGCCACACCGACCTAATTTTAACAGAGGTCTCCTGTTGAAAGTGGGCAGCTCGTGGAATCCAGAAGCAGGTCACACAGCTGGCTTGGGATGTTTCAGACAGGCAGTGCGGGATGTGAAGGGCCCTCTGGTGTAAGGAGTGCCTTGAGCAAGGAGCAGCAGGGCCAGCCCATGCTGAAGGGCAGGGATGGGCCGGTATTCAGAGGCACAGATGAGGAGACTCAGTGGAAGACTTCTGTGCTTTTGTGATTGAAGTGGCCCAGTTCTTCCCCTGTGCCATTTTGGGGAGTGGTTTTTCTTTTAATTTTTTGTCAAGATCAGTTTAAAACTATCACTTGTTTGCAGTTGGCTGCCAGAAATTTGTTGTGTTCTGTAAGGATGGGAGAGATCGGAGTATTTCAGTTGGTGCTGAGCTGACACAATGGACAAACTGCAGCTCCAGTAGTAAGGAGAGGTATGGCTTTCTGCTAGTTTGGAACCAGGGTCTCATTTAGAAAGGAAAAAATAAGGGTTGCTCTGACTTTGAGTGCTGATTGAGCTGTTGTTGACAATTACAGAACTGGAAATCGAGGTCTTAGCTATGGTCTGACAGAGAAGCTAGTAATAGAAGACATGATTGTATTTCCTACTTAATAGGTAGATAAATAGGTTTTATGAAACAATAAGACTTTGATATGCTCTCTGGACAGCTCAGGAAGGTGTGCTGATCAGAAGCAAGCAGAAAGTTGTATTCTGGTCGTTTCCCATGGCACTGACAAAGCCCCAGGTGCTGTGCAGATGCAGCTGATGCTTCCTTGCTGCTCCAGAGCGTCAGGTTTTGCTGGTGAGAAGGGATTTCAGTCTAAGGGCATGAAGCAACCCTTCTGGTTGATGGCAGGGCTTGCCAGGCAGTTGGCTCAGGTATGTCCCTGGCTGTACAGAACCAGTTTGGATCACTTTCAGCCAGTGGGGATTTGAGCTGCAGGGCTGGGCAGGGGGAATCCGTACTCTAGGGGCTCTTCCTGGTGAGTAGTGGTGCAGCTGGTGTGGGCAGCCACAGTAGAGCTGCAGGCTCTAGATCCCAAACTCGCTTGTTGCCTCTGGAGCTGTGAGTGGCATTTGTGGGATGCAGCAGTGTGCAAATGTGGCCAGGGAGGATGGAGGGGAGATAATGATCTGATACAGCGTGCTGTACAATTGTGCTTTTACTTCCAGACAAGGGATTCTGTGAGCATCTCATCTGCTTTCAGACCTGCTTTGTTTTTTATTAGCTTCAGCGAAGGCCTTGTTTGCTCAAATGGAAGGTATTTGGAATTGCAGCCCCAGTGCTTCCAATTAGTGAACGTGTGCCTCCTGCTTCCCTCCAATAGTGTATTGAACCAGGTGTCTGCTTCACAGCCTCTTGCCTCATACTGAGCTTGGCTTGCTTTCCTTGTTGTGGTGCAGAAAGCAGAGCAGACGTCAAGTTCTGGCTATTATTAGGCTGGAAACAAAAAGGTATACAGGGTTTTTATCCTCTTCTAACTAAAAGTGCTAACTTGGAAGAGGAAGTGCTTCAGAAGCAGCATGGATGCAATGGGAACCGTGGGCTGGTGGAGGACAGCTGGGAGGTCTGTGCCTGGATGGGATGGTTTGGCTGCAGGTTGGGAAAAACCCTAAAGAAAAAAAGCTTATAATGCGGTCCATGGAGAAGAGAACTTCAGATGTTGGGGAGCATAGCCAAATTGAGATGTGCAACTACTTTCTTTTTAAAAAAGATGCTGTGCCTGTGAATGGCAGCAAAATTTGTCCTGGCCTTTCTTCTCCGTGGCTGTGGTTCTCAGGAAGCCACAGGCCCTGCTGGCTGAGTCCTGCTTATGCTATTGCAGCAGACTGCTTTTTCCTAGGTCTGTGCTTTGGTGTGTCAGGATTCAGCCTGGAAGAAGCTTGAGCATCGGGTATTTGAAAACTGCTTGCTTTAGGTTCCTGGAGCCCAGCATTAGAGCTGAATCCTGCAGGCAGCTGGTGGCACTGACTGCTGGTGGCCTGTGGTACAAACAGGATCCAGATGCCTTCCTGCTTTCACTCCTTAAAACAGATGTGTTTTCCTGATGGCCTGCATAAGGCTTTTGTCTCTTCTTTTGTGGATGAATGGTGGTGGTGGTATTTGGAAGAATATTATTAATTCTTACTTAAGGCCCAGGTTTGCTGTCTGTCACTAAAGCTGCTGCTGGGGATCTGCTGGCTAACTGTTGTGGTGAAGAATAACCAGAGGTTTTTGTCTTGACCTACCTTGTCTGATTCCTTAAAATAGAACAATGCTCATATCCAGCTTATCACAGCTTTGCAGCTGTATGTGAATAACCCATTTTGTGACATGCTTTCAATCTTTTTTTTTCCCTCTGTTCTTAATTTAACCTATAATACTGTTCTTTTTCTTTCAGAATGGACTGCTGAATTGAGAATTATTGCAGACCCAACAGTACAGCACTGCTCATTGCTTCATCTATCACTAGTTATTTAAATTGGACTTTTAATATCCTGCCAGCTGCTGTTCACACACACATGCTGCATTGTTGCCATTCTCAGAATTGCATCTTTGAAACCCAGGCCCTCAGTAACCTTCACTGAATAAAGAAGTGACCTCCTGCGTACATTCATAGAGGGATTTTTTGGACTGTCTGCCCTCTAGCTTTTTTGTTAGTGCTGTGTTTCTGAGACACTATGGAGCCCAGTATGGAGTACTGCTTAGCGCAGGTGCTGCAGAAGGATGTTGGGAAGAGACTTCAGGTTGGTCAGGAATTGATAGATTACTTCTCAGATAAACAGAAGTCAGCTGATCTGGAACATGATCAGACGATGCTGGATAAAATGGTTGATGGACTGGCCACCTCTTGGGTGAATTCCAGCAATTATAAGGTAAGACTTGTCAAATTACAATGAAGATTTTAGTTGTAATTGAATTCCAAGTGATGCTTGATCCAAGTGGAAGTTGTGTACTTCTTAATATGCTGTTCTGTACTTAATATGCTGTTCTGCAAGCTGATCGCTACACTGAGTCAACCATCCTGGTCCCATTTCTTGGGAGCTGATTGCTGATATGATATTAAGGATTGTTTGGTGGCCCTGCTAGGCAGGGGGGTTGGAACTACATGATCCTTGAGGTCCCTTCCAACCCGGGTGATTCTGTGTGATTCTGTGATTCATGGCAGTTACACTTCAGTAAACCAGATTTATTTTGGGTGTTTGTACTCTGTGATATCCTGATTTCTTTGTATATCTTGTTTGTCTGTGGGATGCTTTGATCATCCCATTAATTGACAGTGTGGATGATTTCTTGCCAAATAAAAATGGCGAAAAGCAAGTGTGTGTGTGTGTGTGTGTGTGTATCTACATATATATATATACACCTGGTTTTTATATATATATATATACATATATATATTTATATATATATATATATATACATATATATATATATATATATGTATACATATATATATATATATATATATATACACACACACACACACACACACACACACACATATATACAGCCTTTGCTTTTTTTTGCTTTTTCATACTGTCCTTAATTCTTGCTAAATGTTTTTTGGAGATAATTTAAGTACTGCTGGATCTACTGCAGTTAGCTCAGGAAAGGTAATGAGCGTGTTCTCTTGAATTGAACAACCTTGCATCCACAGTAGTGGGTGAGCAGTGGGATTTAAACTCAGCTGCCTTGTTATCCCTGTCATGCTGCTTCTGATCCCTTGTCTGCAGTTTCCTTACTGAGGAGGGGTTTGCAGCTGTGCTTTGGAAAAGTTGTGTCCTGGTCATTTCCCAGGCATGCTGACAAGGCTGGTAGGATATTTAGGCTGTTGTTACAGGGAAGAGGTTTTGGTATTTTCTGGTAAGTCCAGAAAAATCTGGGAGTAAAACCTCCTACAGACTTGATGGTGAAGCTCATTAACAAGAGTTATACTGGAGCTCTTGCACGTAGAAGTGAGGGAAAGACTGACTGTGTGGGTTGTGAGTACTTTGGAGCAGAACATCCTCAGATTCCTTTAAACTTTTTAATAGAAATTTTGATTGAAAGGTAGCTGTGAGGATGATGCATCTTGGCCAACGTGTTCTGCGGGGCTGCATGTCTGCTTTTCTTGTTTGTCAACAAACTACTGTGTTCAAAGCTGTTTGGCATACAGAACCCAAAAACCCAAAGCCAGTGGATCCATTCTGGCTGAGCACGCGAAGAAATCTGCTGTCATTAACAAAAGTTGTCTGTGCAATTTCCTGAGAGCTTTCATTCCCCTTTTTCTCGCTACCTGCCTTTCTTTCCATGTTTCTTGGTGGAAACTGCTCTTGCCAACACAAACAGAGTAAACTTGACATTGTGTAATGTGACATTTGCTTAGGCTTTATGAACTGATGTGAACTGCAGAACTGCGCAGTACTTTGCACTTTTGGCGTCACACTTAGGTTGTGTTTTTTCTTTTCTCCGTTGAACTACAGCCCACCATGTCCATGGCAGTGTTCATTATCCAGGAGCAAAACAGTGGTACTTCTGTACTGGAGTGATTGCACTCATGTTCTATAGGTGGCATTTGGTTTCATTCAGTAAGTTTTAGTAACCATAACATGGACTTATCTCAAGTTTCTGGAGACTGTTTTCTCAGTAAATGGATGTAATCGAGTATGTGAAGCTTTTAAGTGGGACAAGCAGACTACCTGGAGTTAAGTGATACTTTTTTAATATCCAGCTGATGTTTCATCTCAATGTGCCAATCCCTTTTTTGTTTTAGTGCCTGTATTTATATTCCTGGTAACTTTTCTCCAGGCTGCTGTGAAATGTGACATCTCTGGCACAGTTCAGCTCAGTTTGCTCTGAAGGGAGCTTCAGCTGCTGCTGTGCCTTTACAGGGGGGCTTGAGTTGTCTTTGTCATTGGTTTGAGCTGTGTAAATCATGACCATCGCTGACAGTTTGAGACGTTGGTGTTTTTGTAGGCTGTTTTTATTTAACCTGACAGTATTTTGTGAAGCACTAGACAGGAGATAATGCCATCTTCTCTTTCACTTGAGAATAGCTAAAGCCTGCACTGTGGCATGTGCTGTGGGACTTGTGGTGATACTAGGGGCTTCAGTGTATTGTCTTACCTTCCCAATCCAATAGCAAGGGGTGGATGCTGAAATCAGCAGAAGTCATTGATAGACCACCTTACTTTGAGCTGCTTGCAGCAGTGTATACTCTTGTATACTCTTGTCAAGTAGGTACAGGATCTCCTGATAAATGCATTTGTGGCCAGTGTGACTTCCTCTGTGTCCAGACTGATGAACCAGTGATGTTTTGTGGTGGGATGCAGAGGAATGCATCTAAGATCTTAAAGTGGTGTTTGTGCTTCTGGAAGTGGGCTGAGGGTGTTTGGCAGTAAAAAATGGCAGGGGAGGGTAGTTTGAAGTGAAAATAGGTAAAGAACTTTATGAGATTTGTTGCTTTTTATTCTAATCAAGTAATCATCATTTTGGTGCTGCTGTACTCAGTGCACTTGCCAGGGGGAGGATCCTCTTACCCTTGTATGGGACAATCCCTTTGCTCCAGATCAGCTTGGTCTGAGTCATGCTCTGTACCCAGCAGGTTGGCCTGTAAGAGACATGAGGAGCTGGCTATGGTAACAGAGCCTGGTCGGTGGCTGAAGGTGTTGTCTCTCAGAGGTCTCCCAGGTGAACCCGGCACATAGACAAGTCTGTCAGGATGTGAGCTGTGCCCTGCTCTGGCTGTGTGTGGGACTCCTGATTTGATTCCTCTGCCTCCTGAAGGTTTTCGTTGCTTACAGAGATAACAAAGTGAAACACGTGGTGAAGTATTGCAGGGAAATTTATTTCCACTGACAGAACTCATAATCATGTTAGAGAAGGCAGCCTTCCTTTCTCATCTGTCTGCATATCAGATGTTACAAGAGCGTGCTTCGCCGAGCTGAGGAGAAGGAAAACTTACATAAATTAGCTGGCTTTCTTAAACTCTGCATTGAGTAATGTTTTTGGCTTCTCTAATTGAGGGGTAGAACAGATGGTGCAGGCTTAGTTTAAAGTGGCATCCATTAGAGTTACTTAAGCTGATGAATGGTTGTTCACTGTAGGCATACGTTTGTTCTCTATACCATGTTTATTTTAGAAGAAATTCAGTGGAAAAAGTCCTGATTGAAGGAAGCAATTCTCAAGCGTGGTTATGGACTAAGGTGGTAATTTGGTAGGTGGGCTTTGTTGAATACTTAATGCACAGAGAAAGGAGTCTTTGGCATCTGGGGAAGAAGGAAAGAGTTAAAGGGTTTCCAAACAGCTGTTAGCTGGTGAGTTTGGGGATGCTGAGGGGTATGTGAACATCAGTGAGAGCTGCATTTATTTAATGGTTTCTCTCCAGAAAACCTCTTTACTGTGGAGAGGTAACTCCTAATAAGAAGGAAGATGAACTGGAATTATTCTGACGTCCAACAGACGTGAGAAAATGGGCCACCAAGAGTGGTTTTGAGATCTGTACCTGAATGTATGCATTCATATTGCAGAAATGAAGTCTGACTCCAACTCTTGTGTGGGGAGAAAAGCAAGGGCTAAAAAAATCAATGGGCTTCACCTGTATTTGCAGTATATGGCCCTGATTTTAAGATGCTGGTGTTGGCAAGCTGCTAATAGGTGGGTTATCCTGCCTGAAACCTAGGAAAGAGCAGAGGCTTGGCTCCAGGATATCCATTTTCCTGTAGGCATTGAAGTTATTTCCCTGCAGCTCCCAGGCCAGCTGAAGGGCTGTTTTTCCTCTGTGTGTGTGCAGTATCTGTGGCTGCTTTTTTAACCCTCACTGCTCTGTGTGGCAGCTGTAGCAAATCAGCACTGAGAACTTTCCTATGGATTCATCTTCCCCTCTTCCTAGGTAGCAGTGGCTCTGGATTGTCCTCTAGCACCTGGAATGGCAGGAACTGGACAGTGGGGTGGTAATGTTTTTCTGAGTGGTTTATGTGGCGTGTTTGTGCTCCTGTAAAGCAACAACAGATAAGCCTGTGATCCCAAGTGGTGCAGACAAGAGGATCTTTCAGTTATTCACCAACATGTTATGAAATGGAATATGAATAGTGAGAAGCCACAGAAATCCCTAGGGAGCATGAAGAGCCCCCATGTTGAAATAAATAGGAGAGGAATTTGTTCTTGTAATGGCACAAATTTGGGTAGGGTCAGTCCAAAGGTCTGTGTTGTTTCCTGTCTCTTCTCTCTGGGGCTCACACTGGGTGGTCATTGAGTGCTCTCACTTGTAAATCCATCTGGCTTGTGGATCTGAGCCCCCTCTTCTGGTTTCTGCTGCAGTCCCTTTTCACTTTGGGTGTTAGTGCTGGGATGTGCACTGCAGCAGCTGCCATTCAGGCTGTGTGCTGACCTGCCCTTAGCTTTGGGGTGCTGGGTTGTGAGGGCAGACAGAGCCAGCCCTCCCGGGGTCTCGCCACCATCACAGTTACTAAATCGAGAGGACAAAGCTATTCCTTTAATGCTAGTGTAGTGTGTCAGCTGCAGTGCTGTGGTGCTTGTCACTGGGGCTTTTTCAGAGGTCTGGCATGATTTGCTGTCCCCTGGGAAGCCAGGAGGTATATTAGCTGGCTGCAGCCTGAGGGTCACAGCTGATGCCTGTGTGGAAAAGGCAGATTATTGGGGATTTAGTCCCTTGGTGATAAGGGTGCACTAATGCTATTGTGCTGGGCCTTATTGGGCCCTGTTGTGGAATGTGCTGTGCGGTGCTGGCTGTGTGCTGGGGGAGGAATCTGGGCTGGAACAGGTGCAGGGAAGGGCCAGTGCAGTGCTCAGGGGGCTGGAGAGCGTGGCTGGCCTGAGGAGGCTGAGGGCTTGCTTAGCTTGTGGAGTGAAGGCTGAGAGGGAGTGTGATGGC